TATTCACCGCCATATTCACCGCCATATTCACCGCCATATTCACCTCCATAATCACAACCATCATTGGACTCCTTGAACAGATCCAACGATGACAACTTTCTTTTCCTTTTCTCATACTCTTCAGATAGGTGGCTGTACTTCCTTTTCCTTAAAACACTTTTGTCCTTCCGACTTACGTCCCCCGAATAGAAACTATTTTTGAACTTTTGCTGATTTTTGTAATTTATGCTACCCTCGTAGTTGGCACTGTCAGCATAGTTGTTGTTACCACTGCCCATATCCATAACGATACCGACGCTGCTGCTGCAGGTGCTGCTCTCTTCATTTTTCTTCTTGTTACATTTTAATACGCTTATTTTGTTCCAGTCTATGTTGTTCTTTAGGAAAATTTTTTCATTTTCACTGTACGAGCTGCTGTTCAAATTTTCATCGAGATAGGAAAATGCAGTTCTCATTTTGTAATTCGTGGTCATCCTTTACCTCTAATTTTGGTCACTTCTGCTATGTTATCTTTTTTTTTTTTTTCTTGTATATATTATATGTTGATAACGCAATGATTAAGGGGTGGGGCCCTTTGGTATTACACGTTTGCAAGATTTTCCCTCCCCTTTTTTGTTCATATATAAAAAAAGGAAAAACGTTGCAAATTCTGTTTGGCCACCACCCGCATGTAGCATTAATCCTTTCCACTGTTGGCTCCTTTTCGAGAAAAGGAATGGCAATTTTTTGTACGATGATTTCTCGGGATTTTTTCCCGAAATACTTTTATATGAGGTGCCAATTTTTTATTCTTTAGTCCAACTGTACTTTGGCTACCTTTTCCAAAAAAATTTGTATCATTCGTATTTTTCTGGTCACGCGTACTTCGCGTGGTCGACAAAAAATGAGGGAGAAAAAAAAAATACACGCAGTAATTATCCGATTTCGCTAAATGGGTCCGTATGATTTTTTTTTTATGCTGAGAAGGGAGAATTTATTCACTGTTGGCCGAGATGCGACATTTGGCAAACACGTTCGTATGCCTACTAGTGCGTACATGTATTTCCTGCGCATTCGAATGTATGCTAGTTCACATATACGCGCGTGCATACGATCTGGGCAATTAACATTATACGGTCTCGCCTGTGTCGTTCGCAGGGGTAATCATCATATATGTACCATACACAACAGCACTTCTCCAGTGATTTCTTCTGTTTTTTTTTTTTGAAAAAAAAAAAAGTTTGCGTCTGCCTCTCCTCTTGTGCCACACTCTGGCTGGTTTCCCTTCTTACGGTCATTAATTCGACACGTTAAAAGGTATGACCATTACGCGAAAAGGAGGGTGGCCCCAAACCGTTAAAACAGCATACACACATATGCGTACAGATATATATAATATTAACAAGCTGCTACGGCACTCAAGGAAATAATCACGTGAGCCTACTCAGCAGTGAACTCAGAGGAAAGGATTAAAGGAAAGGAGGGAAAATGATTCATGTAGTTACATGTGTACGGGAATACATGGGTGTATGAATGCGTGTCACTCCCTCGCGCATACATTAGTGTTAGTTTCCACGCGCGTTCATTGCATGCATATACGCCCACTGCGAAAGGGGGAAAGTCGCTTCTGCAACTGAGGCAAGGCAAACGTAAAGTCTGTCATGCAAATCACTCGGGAAACAAATTCAAAAATGCTCACAATGATGTGTACACGAAAATGTGATACAATCAAACGGTGAACAAATGAACAACTTTTAGCAGCTTAACAGCCTCGCAGATTAGCGGTTCAAAAATGGAACAGTTGCTTTTGCTTGATGTACATCGCACGTTTGGAATACATGACACATTTTATTGTTCCGTATGCGGGAGCATCAGGCAGATTTTCTTTTTCATTTAAATTTTTTTTCACGTAATTTTTTTTTGCTTAAAGAATGTTCTCCTGCGTTACCATCTTTTTTCGTCCTCCTTGTTTCGCAATCAGAAAGGGAAGAAGTAAATGATATTAAGTAAAAAAATAAAGTGAAATGAAGTGAGATGGGGACAATGTGAAGTAAAATAAAATGAAGTGATATAAAGTAAAATAAAGCGAAACAGAATAAAGTCAAACGGACTGGTAAGGTTCATTCTGGTAGTTTCAATTTCACAGAGAATGAACTATGCCACAGGTAACAGTTCACCTCAAGGCACCACATTAAAATGGCAAAAAAAAAAATGTTCGAAAAAAAGATAAAAAAACGAAAGAAAAGGAAAGAAAAGAAAAACGGGGAAAAGGCAACCTGTAGTACCCTGTTTTTTCAACATAGAGTTAAACGATTTGTCGCGACATGCATTTGCTACGCGTACGTAAAAAAGTATTGCAAGGAATGATGCATCCTTCGCATACGTGTAGGATGTTGAATGCTAACACATTTCGATAAACAGAAAAGGAACCTCTGCGCTGTTGAGGTATCGCAATCGCGCTGAACAAAAGCAAGTGAGAGGGGAAATAAAAATGGGAAAATTAGAAAAAAAAAAAAATCCTCTTTAGTGAAACATTTCTCCAATTTAGAGAATGCTAAAACCTCCATACTGTCGCGCGGTCGGAGCGCTGCCCTTACATATTGAAACCATCGTGTGCCACTGCGTCGAAAACAAATTACACCGACAATTTGGATACGGGTGACGACGGCTTCTGCGTCAGTTAAAATGGAAAAATGGCACAACCCTATGGTCTGCGTCAAGTGGTCCTCTTCCCACATGTATGTATCGCCTTCATGTGCCTACACCATTTATGCATACACCTATTATGAGGCGCGCGTATAAATGTGCATTTTCGAACCTTCGGAGGAACTATAACCTAGGAGCCGACCGCGTTTTTACGAAGCAGCCGCGTTTTCTTCGTCATTTTAGGTGTCATTCGTTAGGACGTAGTTCTGCCCTTATGGTATCGTTTCACCAGCGATCTTTTCCTGATGCCACTTTGCCCCCCTACGCATTATTAACTAACTTTTAATTATTAAAAAAGGGGGTAACTATCCTGACGTACGGAAAGAAGTAGCACATATCAAATGCACACAATGTATGCCTATTTGCGTAGTATGCACATGGACTCCCTACCCGTATGTCACATTTACACATCAGTCAATATTGCCATGTGAGGAGGTTCCCAAGAAATATATTTTTGGTACCTTTTAAAAAAAAACCTTTTTTGGGGGGCGCCTCTCCCGATTACAACACGTATGTCGCAAGGATAACCGGTTCGACTTGGAGGTCCCAGAAGCCACTTCCCTTTTGCCATTTGAAAATTTCATCATAATCTCAAATTAAAACTATTATCATAACTACTGTTTGGGGAAAAAAAAAAAAATCAACAGCGCTAGAAGTATCAGAGGGGAATAAAAAAAAAAAATATATCCCCGTGACGAAATCACTGTGCTGGAAAAGTACATGCGTATCATGAATACGCACATTTATTTTTCCGCTTTTCCGTTTTAGTTTCTCCCTCCTAATTTTTAACTCATATAAACAAATTCGTGGACTTTTTAAAATATACACAAGTCACTTTTCACTTTTGTTAAGAGTTGCGAATATGAATGAACGCATCAACTGCGAATAGTTGACATTTTTTTTTTTTTTTTTCCCCCCTTTTGGCAATCTTTACCCCCATGACTAATTTGCTCACACATCCCGTTTAATCTCCAACATTTTGCTATTTTAAAAGAAAGATAAAATTAAATCATATCATACCACATCGAGTGAGAATCCCCCGTTTTATGGTAAACCAATTTGTGCCTCTTTACATGTCCGGATGCATACTACCTTGCCTGTCGAATCCCCAGAATGGCCGTTTGTTCCTTAATAAAAACCACGCACACGTGAAAGGGAAGCAGAGTTACACATCATCGTAACGAACGCAGATGCGCTATGGCGGCGGTAATGTAAGCACCAGTGACAGAGGCCCATCGGAAGCACTAAAACATTGGAAGTTTCGAATCCAACTCGCAAGTGTGTAGCATTAGACAACCACTCAGAACAGAACTAAGTGATACATTTGTATTTAAACCCACATCCTTTTACATGGAATTTAAAGAAAGCTAAAACAAATTAAAGTAAACATAAAAATATCTCCAGAAGGATGCACACCGGCCCTATTTGTGCGGGTCCCTTTTTACAATAGCTACCCTTTTGAAGAGGCAACCCAAATGTGCAGCTGATAATATGGCTAGTGGCACCACCATGTCTAAGCAACGCTATGTGTGTCTCTTTATATTCCCCCATACAATTGATAACACGCCGCTGTCTTTGGTCCTCCCAAGGGGCATATTTTAGCAGATACAAATTGGCTGCATTATTTTCACCAATGAGAGGAATGATTCGATGTTTCTTCGAGATATTTGACCCATTCAAAAGGGAATACATATGCATGTTTGTATGCTGACCCGTTGTGGCGACCTCCCCAAGTGGGAACTACTTCAAACAGTTTCTCTGGTGTGAATGTTACTTTGAATTTGGCATAGATATGACAAAGTGTACCCCTCAGGAAGGACTTATCCCCAAGTTTTTTCTCCTTAGTTTTTCCCCATTTTTTCCCCCTTTCTTTTCTCCTTTTTTCCCCCCCTTTTTTGTGCGCATCTCTTAAACGTCCTTTTTAAGCCACTTTCCTTTTTTTGGAGTTCCTAACTTCGGTTGCTAACGGATAATCCCCACTGGGGGAGGCACACCGGAGTGTCACAAGAAAGAGCCCCTTTCTTTTCCAATCGAGTGGTTTACCATCCCGGATAGTAAAGCAGCCAAATATAGGTAGAGCAGAGTCCGAGAGGACACAGCCACGTGCGCACCAGCGGTTACAATAATTACACCACACAGAAAAGCGTAATAAACCGCCAAAATGACAATCGAGTTTGTGGTAAACCTCGAAAATCACAAGAGAAGAATTTGGAGCATCTGCTGGAGCCCTGATGGAATTTTCCTCGCCTCCGTAGGAGCAGACAAATATATAACCATATGGATTAAAACAAATAAAGACAAAATAAAAAAGACAAATGAAAGCACTAAAGTTTCGAAGAAATTTAAAATGTTTGCAGCAGGAACACACAAATCAGGCAACATAGAATTTGATATATATGACATTATAGAAACTAATCACGATAAGTCGCTGCGACACATTGAATTTTCTCGAGACGGAAGCTTCTTTGTTGTTGCGTCGTTTGATTCCAAGTGTTCCATTTATAAAAAAAATAATAATGACAAATGGGTTTTTTACAAATCTTTGGAGGGGCACGAAAAGGAGGTAAAGTGTGCCTCAATTCACCCCACCAACAAGTACATAGTAACCTGCGGAAGGGACAAAAGCATATGGATACACGCCAAGACGGATGAGGTGAGACATAAGGACGACGACCAGGGTGAAAGCACGGCAAACGGGGGCGAAGAGCACCCAAAAGGGGCGCACAATGAGGAACAGGTAAAAAAGGATTCACAAAATGCTGCGCAGACAGATGCACAATGTGTCGACCTGGGAGAAATTCACACGAACGCCGAGCCCCCAAAAGCCAATAACCATTTCGACGTCGACTTCGACTTCAATTTTGACGCATACCTAACGGCGCATTCCGAAGACATAAAGTTCGTCGCTTGGTGCCCTCTCAGCGAAAACACATTCATTTCGCTTTCGTATGATAACTCTTTAAAAATTTGGAGTAAACAGATAAGCGAATGGAGTTGCGTACAGACCCTCAATGAACACACATCTGTGGTGTGGTGTGTTGCCTTCAATTTTGATGGTTCTGAATTCGCTACCTGCTCAGATGACAAATCCATAAGAATATGGAAGAGTGAAAAAAAGGTTTGGTACAATAAACACAAGTACCCTTTTCTCTACCAGAATATAGTAAAGGACGCAAGGAAATCATCAAATGAAAGTTCCTTCTGCTCCCTTATAAATAAGTCAAACGCCACAATAGGGGATAGTGCCACTGGTTTGAGAAAGCTACTCGCGAATGATAGCCGCGGGGATAGTAACCATAACAGTAAGAACGGTTCAAAGGAGAAAGGGTCCAATGATCGAAATTTTCTCGATAAAACAAGAAAACTGTTTCGAAAAATAAGAGAACCGATGATCCAAGGGAGGGGTGAGAAAACCTCCGGCGGTCCATCCAATTTCGCCACATTAAATTATTCAAAGGGGGACAAGGAGGTGCAGGCGGCCTTGAAGGTAGTCGTGCAGAATAATTTCGCCCCACTCTATTTCCATCATGGCCTTTTCAAATTTGTTTACAAGTATGTAGAAGTGGAGGGGGGAGAGGAAGGGCTGTGTACACAGGGGGAGGCTTCCCCTGAGAAGAGAGAGGAACAAGGAGGCGACCCAGAAAAGGAATCCACAAACGGGGCACACCCCATCGCGAATAGCGAACCGAAAAACGAACAGACAAAGGAACCAAAAAACGAACAGAAAAACGACGAGTGCATGTCCAAGGTGTCCAAAGATGGCGTCGATCAACCAAATACACAAGGCGCAGATATGTCGGACAAAAACCAGGAGAACGACGTGGAAAAATTGAGCAACGGGGAAAAGACCTACAAACAGTGTGGACTCACCACCACGCAAGACGAACAACAAACGATTAACCCAGTTTCAGAAAACAACATCTCCTCTATGAACATAATTCCAGATCTCAGTGACAAAGATAAAGATTTAAAAAATATATCGTTCGATGACTGGAAAATAAAACACGTGATAGAAGGATACCACAAGAGAAGCATTAGCTACCTGGACTGGAATTCTTACGAGGATTTAATTGCAGCGTCTTCCTTTGACAACTCTTTGAAAATATTTCAGAAGAATCTGGACACGTGGAATTTGATAGAGAATATCGAAAATGCTCATTTGAGTGACGTCAATTGTGTTGTGTGGTGCCCGCAGAAGTATCAGGACTATTTTTTACTGGCAACCGCCGGCGATGACTGCGTCATTAACATATGGAAGTACACGAAGGGGTAAAGCAGAGAGAAGTAACCTCGATTGGGGGCTCACCGCGGATGAGAAGTGCAACCTGAACGAGGGGCACACCCCCCATCTTATCGTGTTCCCGCTGTGGTTCCTTCTAACCTGAAGAGATGACATTTTTTCAACCCACTTTAAGCCAACTTTGCGCCCTCTTGGTAGCCTTCTTTAAGCTCCTCGCCCCATTTTTATACCACTTCCCTGGCAGCCGTTTCGCGTCTCCCTCTTTCGCTTTTTTTTTTCTCCCCCCATTTGGGAACCAACACGGGATAGCATTCGGTCAGTACCCTGTCACCATAACACGCACCCTTGTAGGCAGACGTGCAGGAACGCGAAGGCCCTTATATCTGTGTATGTGTTAATATGTGTGTTTGTACGTACGTAGTACCTACATATCGGCAGAAATGCCCCGTGCCGAAGGAAACTTGTACGGGCCAACTTCCCAATTGCGCTACTTAGCACACCTATTTTTATGTCCAGTGAGTATGTCAAAGTTTTCCTTCTTTTTTTTTTGTCACGTGAAATGTGGTCATTACTTCGAACAGCCCTGTGATTTGTGACCAGGTTTTTTACCCCTCATACGAACACATTAAAGTTTTTAATTCCGATGGGTTTTCCCGTTTTTATGTCACTTTGATGGGTGTTCCATGGCGATTCAAATAAAGGTAGCATGGTCAAATGTGTAGCGCGGGGGGCGTAACCCAGTAGCGTGACTTTCTCTGAAATGGGAAGGTGTAAATATAGAGCTGTTGCCTTCTCCCCCCATTCGCTTTAACATTTGTAAAAAGGCTTCGCAGTTTGGGAGTGTCCCTCTGACAATCAATCTCATCGGCGAAGGTATGAATGGTCCATTCATGCAGGTTTGTGTCCCCCCACAGGTAATTTTGTTACACCCTCAAACATTTTTCTCCTGTGTCTCTTCACCCCCTTGAGAAGAAGCGGAGAGAAAATGGAATGGCTTCCCTACAATGTGCAATGTTTCCCCAGGTTATATATATTTTTTTTTTTATATGACTTTTACGATCAGCAACATGCACATGATGTTGCCAATTGCAGGTGTCTACAGAAATTGGCAGTGATATTCGCTTACAATTTAATCACAAAATGGACGTTCCAAAAGGGTTTAATTATCATCGTAACAAAATGACGCTGGATAGGAGGCGCTCTCGTAGTTACTCATGCGTCTGAGGTGTACAGATTTTCTGAGCGTCCACAGTGGGCTTCGTATGGGGTGTATTTTCCCTGATTCAAACCCTTGCGAGTGTTTTTTTGCGAGAACAAAGGAAATGAAGAACTGCATGTAATGTTCACGCAAAGGAGGAAATAAAAAAAAAAAAAAAACGAGAGGAACAATGGGAGAGAGCCCAATGATGCGACCCCTCCTCTGCCGCTCGAGTGTGGCGAGTCCTCATGTGCACACATTCTCCGCCGCGTCAATTCCGCATTTTACTTCTTCCTTCTTGCTGCTTTTTTTTTTCACAGGGAAAAAACCAGGATGGAATATGCGGCATGCTTAACAGCGCAAACAATTCAAATTGCGAGCGCGCTCGCGAAAATCAAAAGCGAAAGCATTGTCTCACGCCTTCTACATTTTGCGACGTAAGACAATTCGTGTCCATGTTGATATCAATGTTGATGTCCATGTTGATGTCCATGTTGATGTCCATTTTGCTGTTCATGTTGATGTCCATGTTGATGACTATGTTGATGTCCATGTTGATGACTATGTTGATGTCCATGTTCATCCCCATGCTTATGTCCACGCCCATGCTCACGTTTTAGTTTTTTTTCTTCCTTTCTTAAATAACGGAATGGACGAACCAACAGCGCAACTGCTTGTGTACGTGAATGCAAGAAAGCGGAAATAGCAAAGCGGCGAAGGCAAGTGTAGACAAATAAAGGGGAAGCGAAACGAGGGCAACTGGAACGGATGCAAACAACCCCAGTGTCACAACAAATCCCTCGTACATGTAAAAAAAAAAAAAAAAAAAAGAAACACCTGGCACAGGTTTCTTTTTATGGTCCTCCAAGATGGAAACAGAGATGGACAAGGAAGGTAACGAACATGAGCAAAAGAAAAAAATGCCCTCTCATGATGATCCTTTTTGTAGAGGTAACATGACAAGGGGGCGAATGGGCAAAAGGGAGAGACAAATATGGACACGTGCACATCGCCCCCCCAAGAAACACACACACACATAATAATAGTAAGAAGAAAAAGAATAATAATCAGCTATGTCTACTCACGTGCTTATATTTGCCTCTCCCCTTTTGCAGACAATCCCGGGAAAGACCTGCAGGCGCTGTTAAAAAGATACAAATCGGAAAAGGAGTTCAGCAGATCGTTCGATGCGTCCGAACGGGGCGAAACGAAATACAGCGAAGAGGAGAGGCATACAGATTCCCTACTTCATGGATACTCATTTAACATAAAAAAAAAAAGTCCTGTTCAAAATGGGAAAAACTATTTATGGTTAAAGATGAAGGACAAGGCGAGACGGCGATCCGAGTCGGAGTACCACAGGTGTGTTCGCAGAAACGATTCAAAACTTACTTGCTTCGTGAAAATGTACATGGAATATTTTTCTGACCTGAAGAGGAGAAGCTACAAAACGAGTTCGTATGGGAACGGCTCCAGCACTAGGAGCGGTTTTGGCAACCGTCCTAGCACGATGAGAAGTAACCCCAACTTTACTGCTCCTATGAAGAAAGGGCGATCCAATGAGGGTAATTTCAAGTTCCATTGTGAAGAGTCTTTATCAATGGGGCAATTACTTGGGGGATCATTTCTGCACAAAGTGGTAGATTTGTTTGCAAGTCCATTTCGCTCTCTCCAGGAAAGGACCCCCCCCAACAATAGCAACCATAGCAGCTGGAACCAAGTAACCCCTCTCCTGATCTTCACAAACGGCCCCTCTGAAGAGGCATTCATGGAGAAATTTTACGCATCCCTTCCCTTCAAAATGATTGTATACTCAACGTTAATGATTTTAACCTCGTTGGTTAACTTTTTTATTTTGCACTACGGTGTGTTCAGTTTTGAGCATACTTCGGGGAAAGCGGCAATGTACCTGAACGTGTGTAAGTTACTCTTAGACATTTTTTATTTCTCCTTTTTTGTCATTTATATCTTCCTGTTCAGTTCGAATTGCATAGAGAGAGTTTCCCTTTATTCGTACAATTCGTCTTACGTGTTTGCATCACTTCGACTTTTATGTAACCTTGTTCTGTTGCACGTACTTCCTCCATCTGTGACGATAAACGGCGGGGACTCTACAGATGTTCTCGATTTTAATACACCCCAATGTCAGAAGGAGGAGCAGTCAGGTCTATCCAGCATCCATGCCATAGTGATTTTCATGAGTTGTACATACCTTTGCGTAATGTGCTGCTTGAAAAATTACATCATCCTTTACCATTTTGCGTTAAGCTTTAAATTTTGCCTTTTTTGCATCCTATGTGTGTTTACTCTCTGTGTGTACTCCTACGGTTACCTCGATTTTGCCTACAACGATGTGGTCGTCTTGTTTTTCTTCTCCCTGTGCGTGCTTCTGCTCTCTCTGTGCTATGACTATCGCTTTGAGAGGAGGAGCAGGGCTGCCTTTATAGGGAAGCACGAAGGTGACGAAAACGCGCATGAGGGGAAAAACACAAGCGAGGGTGAAAACATAGAGGAGGCGAAAAATACAGACGAGGCGATAAACACAGACGAGGCCAAAAATACAGATGAGGAAAAAATCACAGACGAGGGGGAAAACACGGACTACGAAGAAAATGCCAACGAGGCATACCGAAGGAAGAAGCCACGGCACTACATGACCAAGTACTTCTCCATCGACAACACCACGCCCACGTCCCCCGTTGAAGACATTTTGAACAATCTGAAGTTTTTGCTGGACCATATGAAGAAGCTGGAGGAAGACGCCAGCGAAAAAAAATTATCAGAAATAGGAAAAATGAAAGAAAAAATAAAAACGTGTCAAAGTATCTTGAGGACGCAAAATTTAAATGAAGTCCAAATATGCAAATATCGAAAATTTGAGAGAGTTTACAACATGTGGTGTGTGGATAAAATCGAAAATAATTATTGCGAAAAAAATGATGAATGTAAATCGTACTTATCTCAAAGTCTTAACAAAAAATCTTTTAATTCATTTCCAAACATTCACTCCTTGTTATCGTCCAAATTTCAAGAACACCGCAACTATTCCTTCGAATGGAAGGCCGACATTGAGCACTTGTACAAGCGCAATGTATTCGTTTCCATTGGATATAAGCTGCTGTATCCGCTCGGTGTCTTGGAGGCCAGCTTCGACAAGGAGAAGCTGAAGAACTTCCTGCTGAAGATGTACTCTCTGTACAATGAGGTGCCCTATCACAACAGCTTGCACGCCGCGCAGGTGAGTCGCTCGCGCATACACACATATACGCGTACCTACCTGCATGCATACCTACCTACATAGCTACCTGCATGCATACCTACATACGTACACACCTGCACGCACATCATTGCACACGAGAGAACACCTTTTTCAAACACCTTCGCATCCCCCCACGTGCACCCCTCCCCCCTCAGGTCGCGCACTTCAGCAAGAGCATGCTGTTCCTCCTGGACATCAACCACAAGATACCAGCCATCGACGAATTCTGCTTGCACGTTTCCTCCCTGTGCCACGACGTGGGCCACCCGGGGCTGAACAACTACTTTTTAATAAACTCGGAAAATAATTTAGCGCTAACATACAATGACAACAGTGTGCTCGAAAACTATCACTGCTCCCTCGTTTTCAAAACATTGAAGGAAAAAAATTGTAATATTTTCGAAAATTATCCATACAACATTTTTACCACTTGCAAAAAAAATATCATTAGGGCTATCCTCTCAACAGACATGAAAAACCATTTCGAGTACATCTCCAACTTTCGCACATCCAAAGAATTTATCGATTTAGACATTTTAACAATTGAACAGATATGGCAAATTTTCTCCCTCATTTTGAAGGCAGCAGATATTGGGCATGCAACTCTCGATTGGAACAAACATTACGAATGGACAATAAAAATTAATGAGGAGTTCTACCTACAGGGCTTGCTAGAAAAATCGTTAAATATGCCCAACAGCTTCTTGTGTGATATAAATTCTACTGATAAATTAGCCACCTCGCAGATTGGCTTCCTGAAACATTTGTGCATTCCTCTCTTCAGTGAGTTGAATTCCATCTCGAGAAATGATGAAGTTTACAATCACTGCATTTGCTCCATTGAGAATAATATAGAACAGTGGGAGAAGAACAAAAATAATCAGAAGAGTCTGGGGCTACACGAGAAGTACAGAGATGAAAATTTAATTGGCAGAATTAAGCTGCTAAAATTTGTCTGAGCGGGGGCGCGCCGCTGTCAAGCCGTCTAGCCGTCACGTCGCTGCATTGCCGCGTTGCTATATCGCCACTTTGTCACTTTGTTACATCGTCACTTTGTCACTTTGTTACATTGTCACTTTGTCACTTTGTTACTCTGCCACTTGGTTACTCCGCCATTTGGTCATTTTACTTTATTTTTTTTGTTTGCTGAAACGAATCGGCCGATTTCCTACATCCCAGTGACTTCTTCCCGTTGACAAATTGTTTTCCATCTTGGAGGATCCTTTTTTAAAATTTATCCGCTCCGCTTCACTTGTAAGGAGCCACCATTTCTGTAGAGAACGTCGCCCTATGTGTGGACGTCCAGGGGGACAACCTCCCAAATCCGCATATCTCATTGTGCACAGAATAAACGTGCATACATCTCGCGAGTCAAAAAAGAAAAATGGTCTACCACTCGGAATGAGTACTATACTTTGGTTTATTCCCACACGTCAGAAGTGGTGGCAATTGTTGGTCTCCGGGTGGGGGGGGAAACCAAGCTGGTATGTTCTCTTCAACGCTGGTGTTTCCTTTTTGTGTTTTTTTTTTTTTTTTTTACTCCCCTATGCTTATCGGAGAGGAAACTTCTGCCCACATTTAATGGCCATTCGAAATGAAAATATTAGAAGCAAAAAATAGCTCGCCATTTTGTTAAAAAAAAAATTGCTCCATTTTAAGCGTAAAGGTGGGGGAAACACTACGAGAAGTTGCATTTGTGACTGTGTGTGTGGGGGGAAACGCATAAGGAGAATTCATCAGCTCGTAACCATACAGACATACTCACCACAAAGACAAGAATGCATTGGTTAGCCTCCCTTCTCCTATGCGCACACGTTTCCACCTATGTGTGCAGACGTGTCCACTTAAAGGTAAGTGGCTTTATCCCTGTTCACAATTCGAGACTGTGGAAAAGGAAAAGGATAAATGTAAAAAACAACTTCTGCACAGATAAAAGTTGCAAAAAAAAAACACTGCCCCATTATGTTGGGAAGGAAATAATTATTGGCACTCGCGACTCCCCATTAGCAATAAAACAATCGGAGAAAGTGCAGACAAAACTTGAAGCATATTTTAAAAAAGTTAACAAAAATGTGAAAGTCATTTTGAGGCCTATGAAAACAATGGGGGATAATCTCTTGGATAAAAAGGTTGATCTGTTTGGGGGGAAAGGAATTTTCACCAAGGAGTTGGATGAGCAGTTAGTAAAAAAGAATGTCCACATTTGCGTGCATTCTTTGAAGGACGTTCCGATGGAATTGCCAGAACAGGTGCAGCTGTCCTGCTTCCTAAAAAGGGACACAATAAATGACGCCTTCCTATCGGTAAAGTATGCTACCCTTGAAGATATGAACAAACTGAAGACGGCAAATAAAGTGGAGGAGGAAAGTTATCAGGCCAAGGGGGCGAGCCAAAAAATGACTAACCAAGATGTGAAGAGAGACAACTACGAAGGAGATCATTACGGGAATTTCATACCAACCATTGGGACGTCCTCCTTGAGAAGGTCCAGCCAAATTAAATACATATATAAAAACGTAACAGTAAAGAATGTGCGGGGAAACATTAACACAAGAATTGCTAAACTGTGTAATGGGCATTATGACGCGATAATCATTGCAAAGTGTGGACTGGAAAGATTAGCAACCAAAAAGGCGATTAGAAATATAATTGGGAGAAAAAATAAAGTGCCCCCTCAAAAGTTCCTAATTAATCACAACAACACGGAGATCAATTTGAGCCTTTTACACATTCAGCAAATAAACAGGAAAACTATTTATCCCGCTTTGTGCCAGGGAATTATCGCTGTGTCATCCCACAAAAATGATGCGGACATTTCTGATATACTGAAAAATATAAACGATGAGAAGGCGCAAATTATGGCAAATGTAGAGAGAGGCTTTTTGTATCAAATCGAAGGGAACTGCATGATGCCCATTGGGGGGTATGCAGAAATTGTAAATGGGGAAATTGTCTTCAATGCGGTAATTAATGATATCCATGGGAGGGAGAAATATTACGTTCGCGAAGCTGGCACGGTGCAAAATTGCAATCAAATTGCAGTAATTGCTGCCAAAAAAATGAAGGAAAAAATCGGGACGCACAGGTTTAACGAAATCAGGGAAGAGGCAGCCCAATACTATACGTAAACATTCTATGTGGACATGAAATAATATCAAATATCTCTCAACTGAACGCTTTCTTTCCATTTGAGGGGTCCCCCTCCGGTGGGCCAGCACAAGGCCCGCTAAGACACATGGCCCATTTAATTTGCAATTGCAATTATTCAGGAGCGCATCTGTCCATTTGTGCTTACCATCCGATACGTGGCAGGGGATGCAACTGGGAATACAGACGGGGGAATAAAAACGAGGGAACTTCATCTTGTTTGCCTAAAGTGGCGCCCCAAGTAGCTATCCAAATTGGGGGCACTCCTTCGCGCACGCTTAAATGTTTTGCGCCCCTTACGCTTTGCAAATTGTGTATAACTTTCTTTCTTTTTTTATTTTTTTTGGCCCCATAAAGCTTTGTAAGACCGCCTTTTGCATTCCTCCAGTAGCAACATTTATTAGTAGAAATGTGCGGCGCGTGCCTGGGCACCGGTCACAGTTTGGCTAAACCGTTACTTGGGACGTATGTAAATATACCTATACCTACCTCTCTAAACATACCTGTGGAGCAGGTGTAACATCCCAAGGAGGGAGAAAGGCCATTGTTCTTTATGACAAGATATTTCTGCCTTGTGGAAAAATGTCACATGGGAGGGCGGTCTCCACGTAGTGCACGCAGCGAATGAACCGAATTGCGCCCGAGCAAACATGTTCATATGAGTAGGTGAATAAAAATGAGACCACAGCGCGCTATCTCGGGAGGGCCCCACAAAACGTAGGTAAATAATTAACCTCCTTATTTCCTGTACCTTTTTTCCCCCGCTAGAAAAAAGTGATTCATTTTGAACTGTGGGAAAAACTGGGCCACTTCTTAGTGCTTGACAGTTGCATGTAAATATGGAAAGGAAAAAAAAAAGAAGGCATAACTTCAGGAAACGCATCGCCCCTTTTGTAAACATAAAGGGGACATGTATTTTCTCTAGCCGTCTGCCTTAATTTTCACCCCAATTACGACTACCCCATTTGTGATCCCCCATTTTCCCCTCTTTTTTGACATTTTCATTTCAAAACATGAGTTAAGGTAACAACTTTGCACGCCAACCTCGAAGTAAACTACAATCGTACGAAAGAGTCCTCTTGTGAGGACAACTTTTTTTGTCTAGATGGGAATGAGCACAATGGAGAATGACAAAAGAGCCACCCAGGTCAAGGTTAATTTTCCTACATGGTCATGTGCATCAATGTGAATTGAAAAAATGATTATATGTGAAAGAGAGAAAAATAGCAATCAACATGTTCACATTTTTTACCTTATGTATATACCCCCTTCATTTTTTTTTTTTTTTTTTTTTTTTTTTTTTGCCACACGTTTAACCAGATCGACCTGAAGGAGCAGCAGTGGAGAATATTCGAATACAACATGAGCAAATGGATGATCGAAAATAAGTACATTTTGGATAAGGAAGAGAAGAAGAAGTTTTACAAGTGTGCAAATTATAGCATAGGAAGTGGGATTATAAATGCGTCTTTAGTGTACTGTCTTTGCAAAAGGAACAAGAAATTTTTCACACCCATGTCCAGATTTTTTTTAACCTTTTCCTTCGGCATGTACACCTCCATGATCGTGAACAAAATTTTCAGGAGGAAGGCCTACATGGAGGTAAGTCGCACAGCATCGCTCCATTTACACAGGCGGGTGCAGATTCACACACATGGTCATCTGAGCCCACCCACTTCAATGATTATTGTGCATCTCTTTGATGCCACGATAACCTTTTCACCCTTCTTCACATAAAAGATCCTGACGGAGAATACCACCATGACCGATAAGGTGAGAGAAGTAATGAACGACATCTTGAATGTCAAAGACGATGTTGGAAAAGCGCCCTCAACCGGAAGTGCCAACAAGTTGGACAGTACGAGCACGTCGAATGTCTATTCCAAGGGCCTGTATGATGACGGACAGGCACAGATACATGTGAATCCCCCGTCCAAGGACAATGTAAGTTCTCTCGCGCTATAAGTAGCCCCATGAGCATGAACAAGCGTAATTGTGTCCACCATTTTGTATATACACAGCGCGCGAAAAATGCCTTTTCCCCCCTGCAGGGAAATGTCGCCTTTATTCAGGATCTGTAAGTCAGAAAAAAAACAAAAAACGCACTCTTATGCATGTATCTTTGTACCCACGTGCGTCCGAAGAAGACGCACAACCGCTCTGCTAATATTTTGCTTTCACCACCCTCCCAGAAATGAAAAAATTCTGAATGAACAGATGAGTGACGACTTCGAAAGGTACAATTCGCGACGGACACGAGACCCCCGTCTTTTGCACTCCCGTTTACGGCTCCACCCCCACCCCACCCCCAGACGTGTGTGTGCAATTTACACATCTTGGGACCCCTAAAAAAATCTTCTTTGTAGATGCAAAGATTTGTCAGTTTGCACGGATGAAAATTTAAAACGAATGATAAAAATATTAGAAAAAAATTCTTGAAAGAATGTCTGTTGCTCCGACATGTACGTGAATGTATGTATGTACATGTGTTCATATACGTGTGTGTGTACACATGTGCCTGTATAGCTGCGTTACAGCCACGCTGGGCACGAAGCACGGCCATACCATCTCGTGTATTTAAATAAGCGCGCGGTTGATAAAAAGAGCAGCTTCGTTCCCTGTGAGGGATACCCCTGCACGCAGCTTCGAAGAATTCCCATCTCGTTGTACACACTAGGCACAAAAACACATTCGTTGCGCCTTTTTATTCTTCCTAGGCAAAATTCCTACATTTTGAAGGAGCCCGGCGAAGGTGCGAAAAAAAAAAAAAAAAAAAAAGTGACGTGTGTCGCAAAACGTGGCGGTAAAGGGGCACCCGCACCACGTCCGAGCGAGCCATGCAAATTTCTGCAACGTACACAGACACGTATGCGCATGTATCCTCTTTTTCCCCTTCCCCGCAGGCAAATATGTCAGCTGGGACGACATACGACGAATGAACAAGTGAAAAACACGGATAGGCCACATCAGACAATGAAACGAAGTCAAAACATGTGCTTAAATTTGTCAATAAATACATCGTAGTGAAAATTTCTGCTGTCATTGTTAAATTTGGACACGTATGGAAAATAATTCCCGTCCGAATAAAACGACAGGATATAATTGTAAAATTTAATGGCTTGATTTTTTGTAATTACGTTATTCACGATGTTTAATTTTGTTAAAATAATTTCCTTACTTTTCAATTCGTCAAAAAAATGCAACGTTACATATGGCGTTGAATTTGCCCTCAATTTATTGTATTCTTCCAGAGCTGTTATGAATAACAACTTGTGGTCAATAAATTGCGAATAAAAATTTGTGTAGCCATTTTGGTTCCTTTGTGGAATAATGAAATGGGAATTATTTTTGCAATTATTTTTAATCTGTTCATATTTGCCTATGTTTATATGATCTACTACGACGTATTTGTCATTTTGGTACCTTTCCTTCCATATGTGTATGATTTTTTGCTTATCTTCCCTTTCCAATAGAGGCAATTTTACAATATTTTTTAACTCCCTCGAGCTGGGGAGGGAAAAATAAAACCGTTTCCTACCTCCACACATCAGCATGTTGTTTAGTTTCCTTCGTTCTTCCCTCTGTGCGCGCTTCGTGACTGCAGCGGGGATGTTACTCATACACAATGGAGCGGCGCTCCTAAACTTCACACTCTCATTTTTCCACCCCGCGTGATCAAAACGCATCATAATGCAATCGCAAAATGTTGGATCTTCCCAAACGAGTCATAGCCCATCGTCCGTTCACTAGCAGCAACGGGGATATATGTCACTTTTACGTTTTCTCTGCGTAAACGGAGTTCTTATTTCTTTTTTTTTCTTTTTTATTCTCTGTTACATGTGGACGTGGCTCCATCCGGTATGAATAATTTAAAAGAGTTTACGTGCTGTACGTACATATAATGCTTTACCCAGAGGGGTTGCAAAAATGGCGTGCCAATTGATACTCGAAGGGGGGCCAACTATCGCATAGGAGCGCATAACATAATAACGCGCGATGCGCCACTGGCATAGGCCACTTTTGAAGGGTTATAGAATATTCTATACAAATATAATGCACAGAAATAGAAGGCGCAGCAAAATAGGAGGAATTTTTTCCTGCGAACGGGAAAAAATTGGCGTAGGAATTAGCCAGGGTGAAAAATTGAAAAGCTTTGGGGAAGACGAGCCCCACGGAAAAAAAAAAAAAATATACACATAAGAATAAGTACTACGAGCGTTAACTAGCACGCACAAAGGGAGCGCACCGTTTTTGTAAACGTTTGGAATTAAAAGAGAGCTAATTAATTTGTGAGGTCCACATATGGTGCGTAGCAGAAGGAAAGAGAGGCAGGGATGAAACAAACGCAGCACGCACATATGTGTGGGGTAAGCCAAAAGAGGTATTTATAAAAGCGAGAAGCTATTTGTGTGGAGGCGCGATGCAGACACACTGTTAGGCTCAGGGGTGACCGTGGGCACAGCTATGCGTCAGAAGGAGCTCTGACTGAGTATCTCACGCAAAATGTCGCAGGGGTTCTCGAGAACCCTGGCTCGCAAATCAAACTGCACCATCGAGCCATCATTAAGCACACCGATGTAGTCAACGAAATTGAGCAGATCCAATCGGTGAGTAAAAATGATTGACGTTTTCCCCTTCATATATTTCAGCAGCGCTTCGTTAATTATGTTCTCCGATACTTTGTCTAGCGAAGATGTGGGTTCATCCAAAATGAGGATTTTATTTTGCTTAAATAAATTCTGAGCAAGGTAAATTCTCTGTTTTTGTCCTCCGGACAAGGAAGATCCATCCACCCCGACATTCACATCATCGTAATGAGCATATTTACTTAAAAAGTCATGAATAGAAAAATTTTTATACGTCTCTTTCAACATATCTGGAGTAATTTTTTTTAAATTCTCTTGCACGTTTTCTATTTCCTTGGTGACAAAGGATTGTATTTCGTCCAAATCGTCTATCGTGACTACCTGCGATTGGAAGGTACTTTCAGACGCCATGTTGAGCATTACTGATTTGGTACCTCTACACAAATTTATGTTTTTTTTTTTTTTTTTGGGACACCTTCGGGAAAGTTTCTCTTCCTCTAAGAGCACCAGTTGCTCATTCAGCATCTGTTCATATGCCTTCAGGGGGTACAGCAAGTTGTCCTTGACAGACGTATTGAAGAGAAAAGGGTTTTGCGTGATTACTCCTTGGATGTATCTTAACGCTGAGGAGTTGATTTTCTGAATCTCGAAATTTCCTATCAGGATGTTTCCCGAATTGGGGATGTGTCTTTTGGAGAGCAGATTCAGGATGGTGGTTTTTCCGCTGCCACTTTTTCCTACAATGGCAACTGATTTGTTGTGAGGCAGGAAGAAGGAGACTTTTTTCAGGACGTAATTCTTCTCATCCATGCTTTGGTTTCCCCCGCGGTATGTGCGGTTCGCACCGGTCGTGGTGCTCGTGCTGTCGGTGGCGCTAGTGCCTGTGCTTCCTCGAGTATCACTACTTCGGCTAGTATGAGTACTTCCGTTAGTGCCACTACTTCGATTGCTCCCTGCACTGGGGATACGTGAAACGGAGTCCCTCGAAGCGCCGGACTTGCCGTGCGGAAGGATCTCCTCATCCGCGCCGTACGAAAAAGAAACGTTGTCAAACTTGATGGAGTAATCCTCATTTTTGAGAAAAAGAATTGTGTCCTTAGACCAGTGCTCCTTGAACTCACTCTTGGGAAGGTTAATAATTTGAAGTACCTTTGAGCACGAGCCAATGCACTTCTGGAGATCGCCTATGGATTGCATAACCCCCTGTATGCCACTACCACAAAGTAGGGAATACATAATTAGGGAAAATAAATCTCCCGTATTTATGTACTTATTGGCAATTAAATAATTCCCATAATAAATCAGATGGAGTACAAAAAGGGAAATGATACTAATGAAGAGGAAGTGGTTTCCAGCTTTGACCAGTGAATACTTCGTTCCTGATTTGTACACTTCATTTAAATAATTGGTAAATTCTTTTTTTTCGAAAGATTCTCCATTTAGCAATCTCACGTTAGCAATGTTGTGTATTTTTTCGGACGCGAAATCGATGCAGTTACTTAACTTCTCTTGCTTGCAAATGCTGATCTGTTTGACAATTTTTCCATAAGTGGTACCGATTAGCAGAGAAGTCGAGACGGGGAGTAAAAAGGACTGAAATAATTTAGTTGGAGATATATGCAAAGCAAATATTCCTCCGACAATTGCTGCAATGAGATTTCGAATTCCAAAGGAAAGAGTAATCAGTACCCTCGAAGAAACTTCAATGTCGTTAGATAATCTGTTTATTAGCTCTCCTGTTTTCTGCTTTTCAAAAAAAGACAATTTCTGATTGAGTATATTTTCAAACAAGTCCTTTCTTAACCGTCTCGTAATTTTTTCAACAGATGTTTCGATAAAATATATGCGAAAAAAGCTGAAGGTAGAAATCCCTATAATGAGAAATATCGTTTTGTACACCTCGTCCATTACATACTTCAAGGATTCCTCCTTCCCTCCGTACATGTTAATTATTTTGCTTATACACATGGGGAAGAACATTTGTCCCACGGATGAGATTAGCAAGCAGAAGAATGCCACTGCTAGGTAATTCCTTTCCTTCTTCAAAATTTTGTAAATATCCTTTATGGACACACCTCCGTCTGCATGTGTTTTTAGGTGCTTTTCAAATGAATCCTTCAAGCTTTTCCGTATGTTGAAAAAGGTTTGTTGTGTTTTGCTCAAGTTCCTTTTGGGTTCCTCCTTCCCTTGGTCATTTTCGACATTCGCTTCATTCTCTCCTCCCCAGGTAGTTTTTCCGCCATTATGACTCTCACTTGAGAACAAGCGCAGCCTCCACCCGCTGCACTTCCTGGCCATGCGCATTATCCACTCTGGACTGCTCATTTGGGATATCTTCGGTGCGTTGCTCCTCTGGTTTTTCTGCACGTGATGCGTACTCACGCGGTATGGAATTTTGTGTAGGAAGAGAAAGTCTCGGGTGTTCGACAGGTTGGACAGGTTCGTCAAGTTTGGCACGTTTAGAGCGTTTCTCACCTTTGGAGTACTTCTCACGCTGCTGATGTTGTCCACAGTGTTTATACTTTTCACGCTTCTCTTGTTTCCCCCATCATCCACGTGCGCGACGCCTCGGCCTCTGGGAAAACCGAAAATTCTCACATGGCCGCAGAGGGGGTCGCGGCAATTAACCATCAGCTGGTAGTTTACGATGCACTGCTTCAGCAACATTGTCTATCTGAATGGAGGCCGCAAAAAAATTGAAGCGAAAATCGAAGCGAAAATCGGAGTGAAAATCGAAGCGGTGACGTGTGCGTAAACATATATAAGTATACCCCCGTGCAGCGCGATGCAACCATTCGAGGACCAAGGCGAGTGTACACATGTGCATATAAGATGCACATGTACGTAGTGATACACATCTCGTGCGAGAGGCACGTGGGCGAGTTGCCCCTTTCAACACGAGCAGCCAACGGGGGTGGCAGTCTCCTTCGACGGAGTTTCCCCGTTTCCCTCACTTTACCTTTTTTAACTCCAAGATTTTTTTCTTTTCCTTTGTTACGCGGGGGAAATTTTCCTTTTTTCCCTTCTTCCCCTTGGAGTTTCGAATGAACGAAGAACCGTGGCTCTGACGATGTTCAATTTTTTTCTTAAATCTGTGCTTCGATATATTCTGATCATCACTTCCCCAAACCATGTTTACCTAATTGTGGCATTACGTACACATACTTCGATCGCCTGCATGTGGAAAGTGGGGTGAGTAAATAACACTTCTGTTATCTTGTAATTGCTGTCTGTTTCTCTATCCCCTTTGAAAATTCTGTGTGTATATGGAATGGTACAATTTTGCAATTTCGTTAAATGGACCCCTCCCCAAAAAAAAAAAAAAAGGATTGATTTAATCGATCATTTCTGTATGGCCAATTGGACTGTCAAGGAACTTCTTCTTTGCGTGTCCCCTTGAGGGGTGGATGATGTGCTCCTTGGTATAGCAGACGTTGAACTACAAATGAGCGTATCCAATTTTCCTCCCTTTTTGTTTTCAAGGATGGGACATTTTTTTTCGCTTCTCCCCCCATGTATAGAAACAGAAGAGACTTTCTCCAGAATGATGGCGATGCTTATCGCGGTTTCGTGTGCACCACCCAACTACGCTTTACCAATGGGACACGTCGCAGCTTGGGGTGTTCGCCTCAACGGACATGTGGGATGGGCCAAACGAAAGAAAATTGGGGCAGCTCTATTTTCACCTCGATTAGTCAGATGCACTCTGCACGAAAAGTTACATACATAATATGCATATAAGAAAAAAAAAATAAAAAGTAAAATAAAGAATAAAATAAACTCCTTTTTATAATTTTTCTTCTATGTGGGTTATGAAGAGGGGAAAGGTACTGCTGCGTGTATTAACCCGGTTTCAATTTGTTGGCCACAAAAAATGGCAACCATGCCAACCTAGTCTAGGAAGCAGACGTATAAGTAGGCGCATTTTTTGCCTACGAATATATTCAGATACTATCCATAAAAAACATTAGTAAAAAAAAAAAAAAAAAAAAATTCCCCTGATATGTTCCCGCATGCCGGGTTAGCAATACATGGAGCTTAAAAAAAAAAACTACGAAAGGGATGTTTTTTTTTTAAAGAGGGAAAAATGTACAATGTACAGGAAGTAATACACTGTTCTGAATTTTTTTTTTTTCGCTCCCGTCACTGCCACACGCCGCTTCACACTTTTAAGCGATTGAGTTTATTTTTACCTTTTTAAGGGATACATTTGGAAGAGTTGTTCTTTTTTTTTTTTTTTTTTGTCACCCAAGCCATCCCCAAGCTTTTTTCCTTCCTTGCTGCCTTTTGAAAAATGTATTCAACGTGCCCACTCGTGGGGGAACAAAATTAAGAATATTGGCGCTCTGTGCTAAGCGTACGTGTGTATATGTATGCACCTTGTGGAGGGTACATTTTGGAGTGTATTAGTGGTTTCCCCCTTCTGTTTCTCTCCATCCCAAGGGACTGGCACGCAGACTGCCTGGGGATTGCGCAGCAGCTGAGCCATTCTGAGAGTGAATTGAGTGCATACGTGAGTTAGAAATGCACGAATCCGTTCATCTGTATGCTCTCTACTTTGCCCATTCTTATGCTCTCCCGCATGCGAACCCCCACTCATGCGGCCCACATCGGCGTCTAACATGAAAGAGATATGCCAACAAACGCTCGCGTAGAAAAGGGGCTTCCACATCTCTACGGAATAAAGCAGCGAAAGAGGAAGCTCCAATGACGACCACTGATAGACCGCCTTCACCAAAAAGAGAAAACCCGTTCAGATGTAACTCCCCACCAAATTAACATGTTCTCCCTTCCCATGGTAAGGACAAAGAGAAAGTGAAAGAAAAAGAAAAAAAAAAAACAACGAATGTGATTGTGTTCCAATGATTGTTGTTACGCACAAAGGGTAGGCAAATATACGTTTAAGTATACGTCTGGAGGACGGGAAGAGGTGAACCCATTAAGCGTGTGAGGTTTATGCCCCACAGTAAGTCACATTGTGCCAGTACCCTACCAAGGGATGGTATTTGTGCAGCTCATATGTATTGGTCTTACGAATGAGATGTAATTGGAACCAAAAACATAACACTGAACGCGTCCTTATGCCAACACGATGACGTGTTCACCATTGAGCATAAGTTACCACTCCATTTTGTCAATTTCACCACCCCTTCCATTTTAGCAAAACGACGACGTTGAAAAAAATCGCCTCCTCATTTGAAGAAATATTCCTTTTACAAATATATTGAAAAATAATGACTAAAAAGAATGGGTATAAACTGCTTGTAGAGTTTTTTCTTTTTTACACTTTATTGCTGAGCCCTGGTACGGAATCCTACGTTCGAAGTAGCACCGGCGGTAGGGACATAAGCAATTGGAGTAATTTTAGCGGCGTCTTCACGGAGGGGACGATCCAGAGGAGGCGCCTTCCGTTGTCGGCGAGGAGTAGCGCGGCACCACGTCCACAGTTCCCTCCGTCGCATTTGGAGCAGGCACATCAACCGGGGCAAGCATACCAGTTGGATCGGGGGACACAAATTGCACCAACACCCCCCGTTGAGCCAACCGAACGCGTCAAGCTAAAAAAAAAAGAAAAAAAGATACTAAAAAAGTACAAAGATTTTCTGGACATTTTACCCAATAAACACAGCGAATATGCAATTAACGAAGCGATCGAGAAAATAAAAACGTTGGCTGTCCATAAATTTGTCGAAAGTATCGACATATACCTGTCCTTTAACCAGAAGAGGTCCAATATGAACAAAAATGACAATTTAAAGACGTTCATTACATTTCCACATAACTTGAAAAAAAAAAGGGAAAAAAAAGTATACGTGGTGACGAACAGGGACCTTCAGAAAAAGGCCACCGACTCAGGTAAACTGTCAACCCCAGCGCGCATATACCCGCCTCAGAAAAGCGTTTTCTTTTTTTTTTTTTTTTGCGCAATGTGCCCACGTATTTGGTGGCCACATAAGAGGACGCCCGTAAAAAAAGAAACGCTTATGCCGCCACTCCCATTTCACATTTCCACCCTCTCCATGTGAACCACCCAGGTGCCGACGTCGTTGGGGAAGACGATCTGATCAACAAAATTAAAGAAAGAGAAATCAGGCTGAAGAAAAAAAATAACAATTTTTTACTCTGCACAAATGACGTGATACACAAGTTGGCTCGTGTTGGAAAGGAGGTGGGAAGTAAAGGACTTATGCCAAATGAAAAGTCAGGAACATTGGTGAGTGAATTTTTACTCGAGAAGCACGTCAAGATCTTTAAATTTGGCAATTCGTACATTTTTAAGCTGAACAAATTAAACACGCTAAATTTAAATGTGGGTGATGTGTACATGTCAAATGATGAGATACGAGAAAACATTTGCCACCTCTTCGAGCATTTGGACAACTTGGAATTTTTTCACTTCAACTCGAAGAATTTGAAGTCCGTTTTTCTCAGCAGCACCATGGGCTTCCCCTTCAAAATTAAGAAGAACTTTCTCTAGGGGACACGCGCACAGCTAAAAAGGGGAAGAAATAAGGGAGTGAGAACGTAGGGAATTAAGTGAGTGAGGAAATACGGGAGTAACGAAATACGGGAGTAACGAAATGTATTTATATGTACATGTGTACCCCCGTGAACGGGAACTTTTCTTTTAATTGGCCCCATCGCGCGTTTGTTCCTAAGGGACCGGGACTGCTTCGCCCCCTGACTTCCCTACGATTGGACCTACGTTGCAGCTACGACTGCAGCTACGATTACAACTACCACTGCAGCTACGATTAAAACTACCACTGCAGCTATCATTGCAACTACGATTACGCCGTCTTCTTTTCCCCGACCGTTGGTACACCACTCCCTATGTGAGTGTCCTATAGAGGGGTCCATTTTTGTAACCACTGCTGCTCCTGCTTTGCAACTTTTTTTTTGTGCGAACGAAAAATAACTTCACCATTTTGCCCATTTGGAAAACCTTCCAACAGAGTTGCTTCACATGTTGGCTGATATTCCAAGTGAGTTATTTCCCCCCACACGAAAAAGGTGGCACATTTCTACAAGCACCCGTCCGTGGGACGTCTATTGGAATCCTCTACGCCTGAGCCGACCCCCCACCGTGATGTTGGTACGATTGGTGGGTAACCCATTGGGAAAGCAACTGGTTCAGCTCATAACATACGATGCCTGCGTAGTGCCCAGATAGTGCCTACATATTGTGCAAATAATGCGAGCACGTGGAACGCTTCAAGCATGAGCCAAGGCACGTCATCTGACGGGAAACGTCCTGGGGCACATGCTGCATTTCTTCCGCCACTGCGTGCAAACTTGTACCTGCGTACAGATATATGCATATATATAGACGTGTCAGCTGGGCAAAAAAAACAATTTCCCTTCTGCCTTTTATGCGGCAAAACATATATGTATACACACGTGTGTTTGTGCTTTGCTTTGTAGATATGCCCTCTACGGGATGTAGCTCCTTTGTGTTTCTCTTTTTTCCCCACTCATTTATCGATTTTTGTTTCCATTCTGTTTACATTTTGTTCCCATTTTTTCCCCGTTTTTTTCCCGTTTTTTAATGCCTTTTCCAACTTGCTAACCCGTAGGGTAATGCTGCACAAACGCGCGCTTAATGGCCCCGCTTTTTTGGAAATTCCTTTTTATTTTTTTAGAGGAACGGGGAAAGAAGGCAAGTTCGCCAAGGTGTCAAAGTGGAAGGTGTCACATTGGAGAAGCATAAAAAAGTGATAACACAAAATCGGAGAAACAAACTGCAGAACGAGAAACCGACGGAACGTTGAAAGGAACTTCAGGGGAGTAGATGCCAAGACGCACCACGTAAACTCCCCTTTACGAACTTTGCAAAATGGACCTTCACCTCCTCAGCTCGATGAAGCGATGCATCACCAGTTTTACTACCACCCACAAAGGGTAATCGTAATCATGCTTTATCCTTTTTTGTCTCGTTTCCCATTTTGACGGCTTCACGATAGGGACATTATATCCCCCACCCGCGTTATGATGCGTCTCTACACATGAAGGAGTGAACCCCAGGCATATAAATACATTCACAAACATGTAATAGTTGAGCCTATTTAGATCCATACCCGACTCCCTGGTAGAAAGAAAATCGAATGGAAAATCGCATGAATGTTTCCTTCCCACTCCTTACGAAAGGGTTAGCTCAAACTGGTTGTACACGCCTGTGGACTGGTGTCCCTCCCTCTCCTGTTTCTACTGCGTATGTACTATGAAAAATGCAAACCAGAAAGGGCTCGACATTTTGGAACACTTAGCGCAGGTTAGACGCGTCGTAGAGTGCCTTTTGCAAATGGACGAAGCGTGGGACACACAGTACGTTAAGCATACAATCTGCTACTTCTATTTTAACCATGTCCTTACGTACACCCGAATTAACGATGAGTCAATAGAAGCAATACAGATGAACAGATTGAATCTGTTCCTAACAGCCACCCAAAAATTAAAAGTCCTAACGGAGGCGGTACTCTACATACTTAAAAGGAACTATTTATCCTATGATGAAACAATTTTGGGGGAAAAAATTACACAGTTTGAAAGGTACGAAAAGGAAAACTGCATTTATAGGGACTACCTATCAGGTGGAAACAGAAATAATTTTCCCCACTTTGACAAGCTAAAAATTAAAAAAGAACAGATGTTACCGTTTCTCTTTCTACTAAGTTGTAGCACTTATAACAAATCAGAAAATCTTCAAATCGTTTGGACCATAATTGTGTACATAATATACACCTTTTTGGAAAAGTACAATATAAAAAATGAGAATCTGGAAAATGACACTTTATATGTGTATATCGATGAAAGGTATCAAATGGACGGTGACCTCCTCAGCGTCAATAAGGTTACCAGTATGGTCGTGGGATTTTACCTAACGTTGCTAAATTTGGGGAAGAAGGAGTTTTCCAGGATGATGTTTTCGCAGGGCAAGAACAACTCCGAGGGGAGATGGAAGCTACCAAGAGAAAGGCGCTTCTCCATTGTAGACAGGGAATATATGGCGTACCATCAATATAAGTATAAAAAAATAAACTTCCTATTCGAAACAATTTGCCAGGGATTACTCTTAATTTTACAAAACCATCATTGTGCGAATTATCTTACCTTCCTCACGTTGGATTTATTTGCATTAGTTGCCAAGTACCATCATTCGTTTATCCAAAAATACAGCAAAGAAGTTATATCTCTATTTTGCACTATATTTTTAAACGCAAAAATGTTTTTTTTTTTAAATTCAAACTGGACGCCATATTTTACAAAAATGAGGAATTGCTAACCCTGCAGATATACTCCCAAACGGTGAGGTGTATCTTGCAGCACATGGATGAAAGGAGTGACAATGCCGCAGACTTATGCTTGATGATGCTATTTTTAATTCATTACATCAAACTGTTTTTGTACGAACCGCTGAAGATTACTCCACAGTTCGTTTTGCCTATCCGGTCTTCTTTGAACTGCCTCAATGCGTACTTTTCCCATTTTGTAAAAGTGTGGCATATTTTCCCTCCCCTCTAATTCCCGTACGAACAGGAAACGGCGCGAGGGGCACACCTCGCAGGAAAGAAATGCGTCCAACTACACAGACTTCTTAATCTACATTTTGAGAAAAAATAACATTAAGAGGGAAATTATGAAGCAAATAAATCACCTGCAGAAGTACCTAAACATTGTGTGCGCTGGTACCCCCCACGTGGATACAGAGAAGAAAAAAAAATTTAATACCAAGCAAGCATATGACAAAGTGACAAAGATGTACCAGTTTTACGAAATAAATCCCTACGAAAGGGAAAAAATAACGCGAAATATTTATAAAAATAAAAAACTCTACTTTTACAAACCTTTTTACATGTCCAAGCATTTTTTATTGGACAAAAATGAAGTACCTTTTTTTGCAAATGAATATTCGGATGATGGAGTGGATCATAATGAAAAGGAAAAAATTGAAAATTTTCTGAAAAGACTCTTAACTCGAAGCGGGCGCCGCACATTCTGTCCAAAAAAAAGGTTATCAAATTTGAGGGCAGAAATTACAAAGTGGAAGAGCAACAAAATTTTAAGTTCAAATTATTTATGGCGGAAAAAAAGAATAAACAAATTAAAACCTTCTGGAAAGTTCCTAGGGATACACAAATTACACCACGAAATAGACCTTCAGAAAATACACTACAACGAATTGAACAATTTGCGCTATATGACAGATTTGCACACGAACAATGACGTTCACCATTTTAATCCCAAAAATTACTATGATGGGAATGACTCTTCCGATGTGCTTCTGGCTGCGAAGAGCGTCCTGTCGTCGTTTTTCTTCGTACGGAGGGACTTGGCCAGGCGCTTCAAGCGTGCGAGGCGGATGGCCCGCATGGCCCGCAGCACAAGAAGGGGCCATTCCCCCAGCGCGGCTTATACACATATGCTAGATAAGAAGGGGCTCTTTCACCGCATTTTTTATGTCCAAATCGGCAAAGTATTTGTCGCAGCTGTACCCGGGCTGGGCCCCCTGGCTGTAGCGCTTCCATTCACTTGGAATGCCCACCATTTTGTCTCTCCAGAAATTTGTTTCCTCACCAGTTTCTTTGTTCACCAATTTGTTTTCTCATCAGTTTGCTTCCATTTTTTTTTCTCTTGTTTTTGTGACTCATTTGGAATGCTGCTCGAACTGCTGAACGAACAGAGCGACCCTCTCGGTTCGGAGTCCCCCCAGTGAAAACACAGACGCGGGAATAACCCCAATCATCGCGTCAAGCGAGTGAGCCTAGCAGCCCCGCATTCGGGTCATTCACCCTGAGTAGTGCAGTGCAGTGTTTCACTGTACACGTGAACATTCATCACCTGCGAAACGCTCCGCGCGCACTCCTTCCCTGTGTTTCTCACCAATTTGGAATTAAAATGCGGAAGTTCCCTGCACACGCCCGTACGTGCATTCCTGCCCATGGGGTATAATAATTACTGTGGACCCTTCATCCCCCCGACAATCTCCACACAGGGGCTACCTTTTACAAAAAGGGGAAATTCTCACAATTTTATGAAATAATAATCTCTGTTATCCTGTCGAAAGGAGTTTTAATTTTGCACGCAACGCGAATTCGTATTGGTATGCCCATGGGTGAGCTCTCCCGAAGAGGCACACAATCAGACGTACAAATTCACGCGAACGTATTAATACATAAAAACTACAAAAGTATTAAAAATTCATCAAATTAAACAAAAAAAAAGGGAAATAAATGAGTAATTAAAAATGGAAAAACAAAAAAAAAAAAAAAAAAAAAACGCTGGGGGGGGGGGGATGCGGCATGACAGCATGGTGGAAAGATGTACACCTGCTTCGTTGCCGTGCACCCGCGAGATAAACAAACGGTTTATGCTACTTTTCACTTTTAACGAAATGGCCATGGGGAGGGGACAAGTCTCTACCCAATGGTGCCAGCGCGAATATTGTCCCACTTGCAACGATACACGTCCGTCGCGCAGCCCGTGGGCACTTGAGCAGGAGAAAGGTCCACGTTGCAACCCCTTCTAGCTGAACACGGACAAGTGAAACAACTTGAAATAAATGAAATAGATAAATATAACCAACGTTATGACCACCAGGCACCAAGACAGCCGTTGCTGCTTCACACTATGATACGTCTTCTTTAATTCCTTGGCACTGTTAAAAGCATTTATATTGGCATCATAAATATTGTTATTCAAAATTTCGATATTTTCCTTCTGCGTAAAAACCAGTTGTGCAAAATCTTTAAACACTTCTTGTGCTTGCGCAACTTGGCATTGAATTTTTTTAATTCCTTCGAACTTCTGTGTGGCTATTTCTTCGTCTATTAAGCGGTCGTTTTCGTTAAATTGGTCCAACTCATAATCATACACACTGGCGGATTCGATAAAATCATCATTGTCAAGAAAATCGTCATTGTCGACAAAATCTTCGTCCACATGGAGAATAAAATTATCTTTGGAAAAATGATTTGTCCCCAAAGTGTTCTCATTGTTATTTTTTATTTTTTTCCCCTTGCCATTTTTTATATGACTATAACTCATTTCGCCATTTTCTATATTGGGCAATTCGTTGGCAGCTTTTTTTACATTCACAGATATGCTCTCCAATTTATTTACTTCATTTTTAAAATGGATGTTTAATTTTTCGAAAATATATTTTTTTTTTTGTTTTTCGAATGGATTTTCAGCAAACTTTATTTCCCAATCACGGAATAAATTTTCTGTTTCGATAACCTTGACATATATTTGTTGAATTTCTTCATGCAAGGCTTCTATAATTCTTTTGGATATTAAATTATTTTTTAAGTTTTCTAAATTTTCCTCTGCATATATCATATTCTTTTTGATCAACAGGATGTTGTCTTTTATTTTTTTTTCATTGTCGTCTGCCTTTGCTTCCTCTGCGAGTGGGTTGTTTTCGCTATAGTAATTTTTGTACGACATTTTGACCTGTCCTCCTCCGTTTAGCGGGTTTATCCACTATTTTTCGTGCGCTCCCCCCTTTAACCGCTTGCTTGTCCTGTCCTCACAAGGCAGTCGCAGGTACTCCCCCTTGCAAGGAAGAGTAGCCAATCAGACACAAACCTCGTGATGCGCGTCTGCTATATGTTTAAACGAAGCAAAATTTCCCCAATGCGCGGATGTATTCGCGTGTGCATTTTAACTGTTGTTCCAAAGGCATCATAATTTACATGATTATTAGTCATGGGGAGGAGGGAATTGACTAAGGGTCTTTGCGCCGCACGTGTAATTATTCACTTCCTCACTTTCACATACGTGTGTTTGTACGAATGTTCACAGCGCATGTGTGGATTGGCACTCTCGATCACTTGGCCGACGTGCTGATTTGTAAAATGCCAACCCGCTGCGTCATTTTTGCCCTTCGAGAGGTTGTGCGAACTGCTGGGCCGAAGAGTTCGGGTGATGCATGCGCAAGTGGAATGGCCCAATGGGTGGAAATTTTACACAATCAGGAAAAAATTAACCAAAGGGTGGGAAAAATTGCCAAGGGGGGGAAAAAATTCCCAAACGGGAGAAAAATTGCCAAAGGGGGGAAAAAATTCCAAACACAGCAAAATTAACACAAGTTCAACAAAACGAAGGCGCGGCGAACGTCATGCAGTATATACCCTCAATACAGGTAGCGCGCTACACAAGTTTGAGAAACAAATTCACGTTGAGAAGTGAAATGGAAAAAAAAGGAAACATAGGCAAATTCAGTTTTAATCACAAAATAATTACATTTCTACATTTTCTTCGCCTTCTTTCTTTTAAACGGAAAAAACAGTACGCTGTGAAATTTAATTTTTTTTTTTTTTTTTTTTTTTTTTTTTGCCAGAGGGAATATAAAATATGCGAGAAAAAAAAGGCGTGGGCCAAAGGAAAAAATCTACCCTACGGGGGATTGCCAAAATGAAATGCAAAATGAAACGCGGAAAACATCAGCAACAAAAAGGAACACAAACGGAATCAACAGTTGGGGCAGCAGAACAACTTTGAAAGGTGCCCCTCAAACTAATGCCAACATAGAAAAGGAAAGCGATTTGAAAACGCTTTATAAGCGCATCACAAATTGGAAAAATTACAAGGGAATGGGCGAAATGGGGGGGACGGAAGAAAGGCGAGCGCGGTGTCCGTATGTACATCAAGCAACTACGTGCGTGCGCATGTATAAATTTGTGAAATTTTTTGCTTTAAAAAAGCACATTTTGAGGAGACGTACCCAGATTTTGAGTTATTTTGGCTGCTTAAAGGGCTGCTAAATGAATTCGTTACGCATGGATGAGTCATATTTGTTTTTTTCCCATTTGTCCGTTTTGCGAGCTTCAAAAAAATGGAGGCTTCTATGTAGACATAAATCGAAACAACTCTGCTAGTGTGCTTCCGTCAAGTAATGAAATGTAACATAATGCAACTTATTTGAGACCACTGGTTAACCTCTGCACGGGTTAACTTCTACAGGTGGAAGGAAATTTTTTTGCGGCGCTGAACGGCGCGGGGGGAGGGGACAGAATATATGGCATGGTCGCAGTTATTCCATCAAACGAAAGCATAATCGCGCTACTGCAGTTTGCAGTTTCAGTTGGGTCACAGTTAGGTGTCCTCAACGGACTGACGGGGGAATGACAAGAAGCTTAAATCTCCCCGTCCGTCGAATGTGTTCCCACAGTTGTGTCTTCTTAACTTTGTTCACTTTGGTGTAGCAAAAGAAATTAGCTGCAGAGGGAGTTTGAAACTATTTGTTGAAGAAAAAGGGAAAATAGGAAGTCACTAATTTTACCCCATCTACATTTCCAAATAAACCATTCTGTAAATGATAACATTACAGTTGTCACTCTCGTGCGGATGCAATTGAGATCGAATTGCACATACAAACATAGGCACATCAACCATTCAAGTGAAAATGGACAGTTGAGTCAAAAAAAAAAAAAACTTCGTATCGTATTTGTCCCCATCCCTCCACAACTGTTCACATAAAAAACGCGAAATAGGAAATAACCGGAGAGGGCAAATTTACGCTGTATCAAAGTTGACCTGTTTTAAGAGTTCCATTTCCTCATGACGTTCATGTGGAATTGTAGAAGCATGGCGGTGTCTGGCCCCACTGCGAGATGACGTTAAAACGGTTTAGGTGCGGGACCAAGGGGGATGGCCTATGTTGTCTAAAGAGAAGGTGGTACATGTATGTATGCATACACATAAATTCTGCCGATGTGCGCGGTCCCCTTTCCTAAGGAGTGTTACTTTTTGTCGAATTGCCGTGTGCACTTTGGAGAGAACCACAATGGTGAAAGAAGTGACCCGATTTGTGCACTACAACACATCCCCTCTGCTGCGTACAGTAAATCTACGTACGCAAAATAAAAATATTTTCACAGCTGCGTTTATCACTTGGAGAATTTTAAATTGCCTTAAACAAAATTTTCTTATAAATAATTAAAGATAAACAAAAACAAAATTGTATCCCCTTTTAAACAAAGAAAAAACTAAGCGATGTGTGGAAAGAAAGGGGGGAATAAGTATTCATAATGGGGCAAACAACAAAGGGGAAACAGTGGGACATTTTTTTAATTGCATTGATGTAATTTTTTTATTAAAAAAAAGAAGTAAAAAAAAAAAAAAAAGAATGAATATCAAATTTGAACTAGATAAAATATTCTACTAGAGAATGTCATTGCGCTGAAGATACTCTCCATAACAGCAGCCATGAGTTGTCTGCTTCTCGTGATGATAAGCACACACACAGGAAAAGAGCGACAAGAAAAAAAGAAAAAAAAAATAA